CCCCCCCCCCCCCCCCCCCCTCAAATTATAATAAGAATCTACAGATGATGCTCAACCAAATGTTGATTGTTTTGTGTTGTTATGACGTATATTTATTTTTTATATTTTTTTAATAACTTTTTTTTTTCACCTGTACAGGGGCGTACAAAACGTACAGGTTCCCATACAGATATCACTTGTACGTTCATACAGAAAAACCCCGTACGTGTACGTTAGGTAATGTAGTTATAAACAAAGTCAGTCTTCGCCACTAAACGGTTTGACACGGGAATGCTGCGTACGGTGGCCAGGAGCGGCATCACGCCCTCCCGCTCGATGACTGAGGTGATTTGGCCAGTAGCCCAGGACTGGCTTTGGGGCGTCTCCGTACGCTCATACACAATACGGTGCCCGTTCAAATTAAATATTGTAGTTGTTAATCTCAGCCTTGGACCTAGCACAATTGATTACAGTGTCGGACTTTCACACAACAGTTACGAGGATCGAGACCAGCAAGAGCGAAGGAAAAACTTGAAAGGGACAGAGGGGTTGACAGTTCAGTGGGGCTATCCCCCTTGGTTTTATTTACGGTCCCGACTGCGAGCCCGATCGGTAGGATCGAGGGGATGCCAACAATCTCCTCCTCCCCTAGGTGTCGTTTCCCCCTTTCATTTTTATTATTATTTTTATTTTGGTTATTTAGGTCATGTTAAGTACGGGTCTCATTTTCAAAACTTGGTACCGGTGTCGAGTACGACGCTGGGAGCAACAGGCTTGTCTTAGATGGGAGAATCATAGTCTGTTGAGATATAGACCCACGTTCGATCCCCCTATACAATTAAAAAAAAAATCAATTTAACTAAAAAATACACTTAATCACATCAAAAGTTTTGTGCAATAAAATAATATAATAATATCTTATATTATCACATTGTATCTTATCACGCTAAATGTGACTAAATAGTAAGAGATAGTATGTGAATGTGGGTATAGTTTTATATATACATTTGGAAAATTCATCGACTCAAAGTATAATAGAATTTGAGTTTACATTTTTTAATTACTGTACTCAGGGTCACCAGCCCGGACGTACGGAGGTCCCCGGGCAGACCTCCGTATGTACGGGCGTTCGGGGTCCCGTACGGGGTCCGAACCCGACGGCGTTTGGCCCACGCCAAAAATTATTTTGGGGCCTTAAAATAATTATTTTTTTCTGAAGTTGTTTTTGTGAGTTTTCTATGAAGTGAGGTACATGCCTGTAAATTTTCAAGTCGTTTGGCCGGGCCACATAAGAATTAAAAATCTCCAAAGACGGCGGTGTCAAAACGTGCTCGCTCACGTATTTTTTCATTTTTTACTTTTTGTTTTCACTTTAGTTCGGGGTCTAAACAATTTTATTGCTTTTTGAAACTTTTTTAGTGGGTTTTGCATTATGTGAAGTACACATCTGTAAATTTTCATGGTATTTAGCTATGCCAAGAAAAAATAAAAAATCGCCAAAGATGGCGGTGTCGAAAATATGCTCGCGCACTCACTAAATTTGATTCTCTTTTTATTTTATTTAATTTTATTATTAGTATTTGTTTTCCGTATTTTATTTTTATTTCAAATTTGGTAAGGAATTCGGATTTAATGCTCAGACAAATCTTGTTTAATTTATTTTTCTCCATAACATATCTTTTTCTCAGATTTGTTTGATGACTTGTTGATTTTTTTTTATTTTTTTTTTTTGGGTCCGCGTTTGGCCCGAACGGCCGAACGCATCCCCAAGGGGTCCCATACGTTCGGGCGTTCGGGTTCGGGTGTTCGGCCCGTCCCGAATGCCGGTTACCCTGAATGTACTAGAAAAAAAAAAAATCTTATCTAAATTTTATACTTTCGCCTTTTTGCAAAACTATTATATAAATTGTAAAACTATGTTTATTGTGAGTTTAAATATATATTATACGTTACCATATTGTTATTTTGTGAATATCACAGCCCCTCGTTTGTTGTCCTCTTCTCTCTTTCTGCCTACGGTTTACCGGGCAGTTCTGTTTGTGACGATATATACTTCACCACAATGATGTATATACGCTACAAAATGTAGCTGATACGGAAACATAATCGGAAGGTGAATTATATTCATATCATTGGTCATAAAACACTTAGAGTAAAAAATAGTTTTGTATGAGTCTTTTAGGAATATATCTAATAGGATTTAACAAATAATAAAGAATCAAAAAATAATATTATTGCTTTGTCATGAAAATAAACCATATGGTGAGTTTTATTTGACTTATGTAATAAACTTTAAGATATGTATAGATTAAAAAAAATTACGAAAACTCAATAAAACCAAATTCGAAATTTTTACTTTTTAACAACGTAAAATATTAGCTCACCTTTGCCAAATATGTGGTAATTTGTTTATTTTGTTATTTAAGAGTATAATAATTTTAGAAAGACAAAGCGACTAACAAATAAATATGATTACTTCAAATTAATTGATTGATATGATATTTAGTGTTAATAAATAATATAAAATATAATCATGTTAGATATGATCAGATAAGATTAGATGAAATGAAAATTGAATGTTGCCTAATCATATATACATTTGAAAAATATTTTGAAAATAAAAAATATAAAGTTATATTTAGCTCATACAATTCAACGAAAAAATGTTTGTTGTATAGCATAAAAATCCAAACAACTTTAATTAAATATGTATTTCAAAATTATCAATCAAACTTAAGCAAAATATAATAATAATAAATTGAATATTGTCAAACTACTAGTCGGGTCGTCTAGGTTACTTTGTTTATGGACTGGGTCTTGCTATACCGCGGGTGCTTATTTGTCTATGGACTGAGGTTATTTTGGTAGTACTGGACCCCGATATCTGTGTGTGACTTAACTTGGTCACTCTTTGGGACCCTCGGTGCTGGGCCGCGACATTTGTGTATGATTTACCTTGATCACGTTTTTGGGACCCCGAAGTACCGGTCATTATCTTGCTCGGTTTTACGGGCCTTGTTTGAGTGGTAGCTTGTACCGGAGATACAGAAGTGACTTAGGACCGCGATGGGCTTGTTTCTAGGTAGGCATATCGGACCGGTGACCTTACGAGTAGGATAAATAGATTGGTAGCGAGTAGTTTGACCTCTTGAGTCAGACATTCTGGCGGCGCTTGGCAGTCCAGTACTACCATTGGGTTTTACAGTTTGATTGGTCGGACACGATGTTCATTTTTCGATGTCAATCTATGTCGAGTCTCTACTACTCATTATTGTGTGCATTAATTGTATGTGCATGTGGACATTCCATATCCATTGTGATTGCGTGTGTGAACTTACCTGGAGATGAACTTACCGGGCCCGAGTGAGCACGTTTACCGGTGACCTCTGTCTCATTGTTGACTTTACTTCGTGCCCCTACTGGTTGAGGATCTGTTGTATGAGATTAGCTTCCTAGCGCAAGTGATAGAGGTGGTTTGCTTACGTTGCGTTCCTGTGGAGGGGTAGTTTGCCCTGCTGATGTCCGCATGGCATCTCAAGAGGCGCACGATCGATGTCAACGGGAACGGGAGTGGAGTGATCGAGAACGTGAACAGAGGGATCGAGAGCCTGCTGATGAGGAACGGAGGCCGTACCGACCTCCTACTTGTTATGCTTGCCATGAAGTTGGGCATTATGCCAACCATTGTCCGAATCGTAATAAACGGTACTCCAATGCTTGACCTTCGTCTTCCACTGATTCAAGACGTCCAAGGTCGCCTCGGAGGCACGAATCGGCCAAGCGAGAGTCTGCACAATTGGACTCGGAGATTCGGTCCACAATTAAAAAATTGGGGAAGAGTGTTGCAGTGATGGAGGAACGGTTGAACGTGAGAAGCGTGAATTTTTGAAGATGAGGAGAAAATGAGAGAAAGAAGAAGCACAGCGACGTGTTGAAGAGGAAGCAGGCCGCCTGGAAAAAGAACGCATTATCGTGAAGAATAAAGCTTTGAAGTACAAGCAGAAGAAACGCATTGAAGAGGAGAGACGCGCTGAAATGCAAAAGGATATGCAACTTCAGCTAGCTATCCATGTCGGGGAGTTAGAGGATCGGCTTGTCCAACGGTTGAATCAGGTGGTTTCCGTTGTTCCTCCAAGTCAGGAACGCGGCAAGAAAAATGTGACGTATAATCAGAACGAGGTCCCATCGGCAAGTTCGCGGGACGAGAGTGACACTAACGTAACTCAAGATCTGAGTGCATGTGCTGGGCGATTGGAGATCTCGGATAAGCGTAAGCGAGGGCCGAAACCTGTCTTTGAGGACCCAAGTCCACTTATGGAACAGCCAGCTAAGCGTACTCTGATTCGTGAAATTTTGAAGCCAATCAAGTTGACTGGTCGTCTGACGCGCTCCAAATCCAAGAAAGCTGGTGGGAGCCTTACCCCTACGTCAGCGAAGAAGAAGATTGCTACGCCTCTCTCAAAGAGGTGTACTCCAACTCGTAAACGTACACCGCTAGTGTCGGCAACGGTGGATACGTCGTTAGAACGATTGCGCTACCTCGATAACGTTTTGCGTGAACTGAAGGATCTTAACGCAATGGAGCTGCAACGTATTTGTCGGGAGGAGAATATCCCGTATGACAAGAAAATTGATGGGATCTTCGACATCGTGGATTACCGGACCGAACGTGCGTTCATTGCGGCGACTGCGGAGGCTGAATATATCACCATTTCTGATGATGTGTCTACCCAGCCGAAAGAGATTGCTACGACTGTTGGGTGATGTGAACTCTCGTTGCTGCAACTTCGAAGAGTATGTCGATTTTTATCCCAGTTACGTTGTGAATCATAGTGGGTTGATAAGAAGGTGGAAAAGATGCTTCGCCTAGTCGTTTTGCTTTTGGCTTTGTTTGGTTAGATTCGATGGGCGCAAAAGTGTGTTACTAATTGGCTAGACTTGTATGACCGACATGGCTTAGAATTTCTAGATCTTACCGACCGCGTATATGTGGGGATTTCTCCCTTTTGTAAATCTTTGTACATCGAAAAAACTACCCGTGATGTCGATACTCGTTGTCGTGAGCATCTTTATTGTTGCCGTAATCGGATGCAATCGCATTTTCATCTTTGGTTGGCCAATTTCGGGATCGGTAACTATCTGTTAATCCCTATTGATTTGCTAGTGGATAAGGAATTGGGTCGACTTGAACAAGTGTACATTAAACTTTGGTCACCGTTCCTTACTACCAGCGGTTGTACCAAGCATGGGAACAATCGTAGGAAGTGTAAGGCAGGAAGAAGGGAACGTGCAGGGAGGCAGGGGGTTGCCAATTCTTCTTATTCTTCTTCGACTTGGAAACCAATTTGGTTTCGTGTATTGATTTTTACGAATTCTTTGATAATCTTATGGATTCTGGAAATCATACGGTTGATTTTGTATCCAGTCGGGTAATATCTGGCAACCCAGCTGACACATTTTCGTTAAAGCCTTTGGTAACACAAAGATTGCGCATGAATCTGGTACTTTCTTGCTTACGGACGGTAAATTGTTGTTACAATCGGGGGTACGTTTCACTGTTCTACATGTATGTAAATGGACTGCACGTTGTCGGCGCGAATACCCTTACAAGAGTATCCGCCCTGTTTTTTGCAAGTGACAGAAGGACTCGGTTAACCTGGATTCTGAGTGCCTGTGCGGGGAACGTGAGGGTTGTTCGCACGAGGGCAAGGGTCTGCATTGTCCCGGTAGGGAGTGTGTGGGCGCGCAATTTTGAGGCGCGCGTGTGATTCTTTTTCTGGTTAAGGTAGGCGGCTGGTCTAGCCGACCGGCCCGGGCCATGTTACGGGTCTGATTAGGGGTAAGAGTCTGTTATTTTCTTCAGTTCTTGGTCGGCGCGCGCGACCGGTGGTAGGGCTGGCGCGCCGATAAGCGTACGGGGGCGGCCACGGCAAAGGGTTGAGAGGCCGGCGCGAACGTTTAGGGGGCTGGGAGAGTAATCGGGGCGGTATCCTGGCCCAGAACGCCGCGCGGTACCACTTTATATGGGGGACCCCGCCTGCTAGTTACAAGTTTGGGATTAGCCTTATCGGTTAAGGCACTGTATTGTTTCGACAGAGGTACGAGGTTCGAGGCCAACTGACGGTGGCATGGGAGCGATGGAGCGGGTAGAAGAAAAAGGGGTTGAGGGTCCCGCGGGACTATCCCCCTTTTCTTTTTCTTGTTCTGGGCACTGGGAGAGTCGATCGCGGGCCCTCATTGAGGGATTAAGGGAGTGCCAGTGGGGTTTGTGCGCGGACTAAAAAGTTTGGGTGGTAATTGTGGGGCAGGCCTTAGAAACAACCGAATTGGCACGAAGAGGCCGGGGATGACCCCGGACGTGAGTCGGGCCGGGTGCACGCGTGAAAGAAAAGGGGGGTGTGGCCTGGGCCACGCCCAACAGGCACGGAGTAGAGGAATCCCTTTGGAGAGAAGGGGGATTGAGGCACGAGGAAGATTCGCGCGGCCCCACAGGGAGGTGGTATCCGGGAGTGAACCCGGACGGGGGTAAGGCCGGGTTCGGGTAGGAATAATGAACTAGGGAGAGGCGGGGAGGGATTTTTCGTTTCAGATCACATTCGATCTGTTTTTGTGCTCCCCTCATTTCCAAGTTTTCTTTTTTTGTCTTTTTGTTGTTTTTTGGGTTTGTAGCGGTCGCTACACTTGCCGACGCGGCAGTTGGAGAGAACAGGAGATGGGGGAGGTCGTTCGGCTAAATAACTAAACTTGCAATGAACCCGGACGCAGATTGCGCCGGGTACATGCAAAGAGAAGGGGAGGCTATCGGGGTTTTGATTCAAGGAGACTCCACTTGGGGCCTCCGTTGGATCCGAGGGGAAAAAGGGGGAGAATCAGATCGACCGATCCGTATGATCGCCATACAAGTGCACTATGCACAAAAGTCGGGAGTGGACCCGGTCACAAGTCGGGCCGGGTACGTGCAGAAAAGAAAAGGGGGCGGCGCACTTGCCTAAACCCAAGTTCACGAGAAAGGCCAGACCTGTGTGAGGGATGCTGACGAGGCGTGGCGGCAGCGGGAGCCGCACGGGTTCCGAAGGGCCGCGAGACGTCCCCACGGCCTGAGTCCTTCGGGACATCTGTTAAAATTGGAGCGGGTACAAGCAGGATTTGCATGACACCCGAGAGGGAGGAGGATGCGCGAAAGGTCGGAGTAGACCTGGACGGAGTGATGGGGGAGGGGCGGAGGCCGGACTGGGATGCCCTACGGCCGGATGCGCCCGGCGACTGCCTAGGACGTTGGAAAAGGTGGGGGAGGACGTACTCACTATCGACCCGGCCGCAAGCGGTGGCCAGGTACGGGCAAGAAAAGGCAGAAAAAGGGGCCGAGCGCATGCGAAATTTAGAAGTCGTGGGGGTGCTGACGCGGCGAAAGTCCTGCGCGACGCCCGTGAAAATTGGAGTGATACAGGAAGGGCCCCCACCGGGGCGTTGTGTGGCATTGATAGTCGTGGATTCGGGGATGAACCCAGACGTGATACGAGGATAGGCGGGCACACAAAGGGCTGGAGGCGGTGGCCGAAGTCTGTCGGGACATCCGTCCAGATTGGAACGATGCAGGAAAAAAAGGGGAGGATGGCGACTTTGGCTGGGCTACGAGTTAGTAGGCGTCGGACTGAGGAGAAGAGGCAGGAGAGTATTTGTAGATAGTCACCGATCGGTTTCTATTTTTTTGTTTCCTCTCTTTTTCCCCGGGGAGCGTTTCAACGGCGGGCGGGATCGCCAAGCGCTGCGGACTGGCCGAGGAAGTGTGTCGCGGGGTCTCGGTTGACGCCAACAAGGCGATGGCGGGAACTGTAGGCTGAGCGCGGCCAAGCCTGCGACCCCGAGTAGGATCGGGCGAGGAAGAGAGTGGGTCGGGGACTATGGGCTAAGGCGAGGCGATTGGTGAGGACAGCAAGGCGCGTGAGTTGACGGAGTAGGGGGCGAGGGAGAAAGACTTTGAAGTAAAGATGCACCCGCCCGGATTCCATCGGAACGTTCATGCGAGCCGGCCTGCCCTGTTGGTGGGGAATGCAGGGTAGTGGCCGCAGGTCGGAGAGCAGTACGTGCCCGTATTTCAGCGGAGCAACCATCCACCTCGCCTGCCGTGGGCAAGTGAGGTAGGGAGCGTGCTGAGGCCGAAGGCAGTGGGTCGGGGGCTTAACTATCGGTGGGGATACGACCGACGAAGATTATTACCGCTGGTATGCCCCAGGCTGCCTGCAGATACAGAAGGGGGAGGGCACATCGTTATTCATTGATATTCTGCTCTTGAGCGATGCTCGTCGCCTTTGTCATTGCAGACCGGGGTTGCTCGTCATAGTGGTTGGGAACCCTCGCGTCAACGTACCTGGCCGTTGTATCAGAGGGGTGCCTGTTGACTGTGTTGTGCCAGCCCCCCTGACCATGACAGTGTGAAGCCAGCACCGGGGAGATAGGAACAGCAGGGGTTCAGCTGTGGGCCGAGAGCCGGTGTGGGCTGGAAAGGAACGCACCCAGGGATTGGAGGTGGGCTGTTGTACTAACAGGTTGTGGGTTGGGCAGGCTGTGGAGTTGTCACCTTACAGGAGTTGGTACTCGTGGGTACAGGCGACTGTGGTTAGCTGATTGTGCGCTGCTCTGCGTTGCTGCATGCCGCGGGCCTACCGCTACTCATCGCAGCGGGCTGGTTGTGCAGTGACGCTAACTGCCGCGTACTCTATGCGAGCAGCTACGACTGCTGAGTGCATGTGTATAGTTGTTGCCGGCTGCTGCTGTGTGTTACCAGTGCCTGAAGGTTGCTACAGGCTGCAGAGACAGCGGGAGTTGGGCAAAGGAGGTTGTGGTTGTGAGTTGAGGGTTCGTTAGGGGAGTTGGACTCAGCGATTTGGACTGCGGGTCGTCCGAGCTGCTGCTGTGGCCGCCATTGCGGGGCCCTCAGGTGTCGAAGGTGAAAAGACCCTCTCACGCGAGCCTGAGTGTGTCATTCTGTTTGAGACTCTTACCCCCTCTCACCTTGTCCCTCTTACTCTGAGTCTAGTCCCTTGGTTCTGAGAGGAAGGCGGTAGACGGGCGTGTGGCCCGTAACCCGCGCCAAGGCCTCTATGGGAGGTTCGCCCTACCGATTGCGGGAGCTCTGGCGGGACTCAGGAGGAGTCCTGGAGGCAGGGAATTGAATGGTAATTCCTTGACTCCCTCTATAAAACCAACTATAACCCCTACCTGTACATCTTTCTATGATTTGACTGAGTGTACTGCGTGACTCCTGTACTCTGATTTTGGTTTGACTGTCAGGACTTAAGTCAGACGGAAATAAAGGAGTGTCTGTGCAATGTCAGTTTCAGGTTTGTTGATTGCCTGAAAGCAGACTATGAATGAGATGGGTGCATCTGGGGGAAGGTTGGGAGGAAGGCAGTATTGTGTGTAGCTTGACTGGGTCATTAAGGCTGGGAGGTCCCCTTAAGTTTGGGGAAGCCCGACGCTTTGTTTATTTTTGGTTTGCATGGAGCCTCAGGCCGCTCTATAAGTTTAGGTAGCCTGAAGCTCTGAAGGTTGGGATGTCCCCATAAGTTTGGGGAGACCTGGTGCTGTGAATTGCTTGGAGGGTCAGGACGCTCTATAAGTTTAGGTGTCCTGGCTGCTCTGACTTGTGAGGGTTTGATTGTGGGTGACTTTCAGGAACTCATGTCGCTCTATAAGTTTGGGTACCTTGGGTTGCTTTGTTTTATTTGGGGCTCTCTCAGTTTCTTTGGTTCTGAACAAGGAGGTCTGAACCGCTCTATAAGTTTAGGTGGTTCAACCCTTCTCTTGTTTTGTTCTGAGGGGATAATTCTGGC